TAGTCGTAAACTAATCAGATAATCAAACAGTAGTCGTAAACTAATCAGATTATCAAACTGAAATTGTAAACTAACCAGATTATCAAACAGTAGCCGTAAACTAATCAGATTATCAAACTGAAATTGTAAACTAACCAGATTATCAAACAGTAGTCGTAAACTAATCAGATCATCAAGCAGTAGTCGTAAACCTACCAGATTATCAAACAGTAGACGTAAATTAACCAGATTACCAAACAGTAGTCATAAATTAACCAGATTATCAAGCAATAGTTGTAAACTAACCAAATTATCAAAAAGTTGTTGTAAACTAAACAGATTTTCAAACAGAAGTTGTAAAATTATTAGATTATCAATCAGTGTCCACAGAATGTCATCAATATAATGCAACAGTGAATAATCAGTGTGTCCTCGGTCCTTGTACCTGGACCTTCAGTAACCTCTCTCATCCATAACGTTCAGCATCAAGTCTAGTGAAACTCTAAATATGCTAAACATTGTGATCACTCTAAACTAAATATGAACTTTAGTGATTTTACGGTCATCAATTCCATTTTAATCTGAAAACCACAGACATGATTTAGTGATAATGATTCTACAGTGTGTGGTGTAGTTGTCCCGTGTCCCAGGGGAGTACTCTCTAGCACAGTATGGTATGGTATTGCAAGCATGAGGGCTACTTCTGGTCACACTGCATTGACCACAAGGTTACACAAGGAGCTGATTTGCCCCCAAGACATTTCACAAGATAAACACATTGGAAGTATAGACAAACAGTTATTAAAAAGGGTTTTTTCCATGCTTGTTTTTCCCTTTTCAATGTAGGAATGCAATCCAGAGATGTATAGGGTACAGAGAGCTCTGTGGTGTCTGATATAATTGATACTTTATGCTGTAGATTAGATATAAAAACTCTAGGATGTGGTATAGGCCTACTGATAAATGGGACCTTTTACTATGATGAGATTCTGTGGTTTTGCAGAGCACAAGCTCTGGCATTCCTCCCTAGTTACACAAACAACCTCTGGGCTGCCACGCTGCATTAGTGCTCTGCAGGGGAGGTTTCAATGGAAAACACAGCAAGCAGCACTTTACATTTACATTTACCAGACGCTCTCATCCAGAGCGACTTACAGGAGGATTAGAACCAGCAACTTTTCGGTTACTGGCACAACGCTCTTACCCACTAAGCTACCTGCCGCCCCAGCACTTCATTGGAATGTCTTTGTCTAAAAAGCTACAGATTATACTGAGTAATCAGAGGTGTCATGCCCATAGGGGGCACAGGGGCACATGCCCCCTCAGATTTGTCCTGTTAAAAAATAATTTGAAAAAAATTATATTATTTTCTCTGTATTAATAATACTAGCCACGTAGCAATTTTATGAAGTTGGCTTTAGCTAGCCCAGATAGGTTCCCGATCTCCTAACCTCATATCTAGCTACCAAGAGTAGCTAGCTAGCCAATCTCCTAACCTCATATCTAGCTACCAAGAGTAGCTAGCTAGCCAATCTCCTAACATCATATCTAGCTACCAAGAGTAGCTACCAAGAGTAGCTAGCTTGTCTAACTATCTTAACTCGCATGTCTGCTGGCAAGGTTGGTAGACTTTAGAAAAGCTAGCAATAACTAAATGTACTGAATAAGACTCACATTCATTTCAATCTTTTACCCAGATTTTAGCAGAGATGCAGAGAATAATATTTTGTTTCTTTAATAAAGAACCACCAGTCAGGAGGATACAGACAGCCAAAGTGGTATGCTTAGATATGCAGAAAAAATATGCATATTTTTGACATAGGATTAAGCATAATGATTATGGCTCTAGATTGCGGGAAAAAGCTGTTTCAGTTGTTTGAAAAAGGCAAAATTCTCCAACGTAGCCCCCCTCCGGATCACCCCCCAGCCATCCTCACTTACTTTGTGCCCCCTCAGATTTTTGGGGTGCATGATGCCCCTGTAAGTAATGGTACCCCATAATGGTACCCCATAGTCAGCTGGTCTCCAAATGAGGAGAATGAGCAGCATCCATCTGGCGGCACCCCCTCATTCCATTTTAGCCAGCAGCATCCCACCCTGCATCCCGCTGCTGGCTTGCCTCTGAAGCTAAGCAGGGTTGGTCCTGGAAAAGGAGACCAGATGCTGCTGGAAGTGGTGCTGGAGGGCCAGTTGGAGGCACTCTTTCCTCTTGTCAAAATAAATATCCCATGGCAGTGATTAGGGACATTGCCCTGTGTTGTCTTTCGGATGGGATGTTAAATGGGTGGTCACTAAAGATCCCATGGCACTTATCGTAAGAGTAGGGGTGTCAACCCCAGTGTTCTGGCTAAATTCCCAATCTGACCATCATGGCCACCTAATCATCCCCAGCTTCCAATTGGCTCATTCATCCCCCCTCCTCTCCCCTGTAACTATTCTCCAGGTTGTTGCTGTAAATGAGAATGTGTTCTCAGTCTACTTACCTGGTAAAATAAGGGTTGAATTTTTTAAAGAATTCAATTTGAATGAGGACAGACAGAGAAGCAAGCGCCACAGAAGCTTCAACTCAACAACCCCCCTGCAAATCAAACATGTGTTGTTAATTCTCTACAGATATTTGGTCCCTTGACGCTGCCAATATTCTCAACTCGGAAGCATTAAAAAAACTTTCCTGTGGGAAATTTCCTGTGGGGTCATGGACATGGTACTTGATCAACGTAAAAATACACTCCTACGGTATATTAGACCTAGGTCAAATCCTTAAATCTCAGGACCCGTATTTATAGTGTCCCAGTCTCTCAGTCACAGAGCTGTCCATAGAATCTTAATTTTACCACTACTACTCTTTGTGAATAAGGGCCCTAAACTGTGAACTGACTTACACTGTGGTCCTCTGTAGCTCAATTGGTAGAGCATGGCGCTTGTAACGCCAGGGTAGTGGGTTTGATCCCCGGGACCACCCATACGTAAAAATCTATGCACGCATGACTGTAAGTCACTTTGGATAAAAGCATCTGCTAAATGGCATATTACATATTATTAAAATATCATGTAGTGTGTTGTATTTTGCATGTACAGGAATGTCCTGGGCTATTTTTGTTTGTTCTTACTTGTCTGTTCCTTGTTATCCTCATAAGATGTGCGACATTCTGTGAGCTGTCCAATCTAACTGATATGAACATAAAAAATAAAAAAAATGTCAGCTTCACTGCAATGAAATCTCAGATCCCTTTGAAAATAAAGTTCTGAATTCCTGTTTGTGTTTCGAAATCCTATGTCCTCGTTTACATTTAGAAAATATGTTTGTACATGCGGTCTGTGTTTGTTAGTGTAAGTGGGATCTGTGTCCAATTCTATGTTTATCTATGTTGGATCAGTCCAACCAGAAACCATCTGGTTGTGAGATGACCATGCATCCTCCCTGGAAGTGTCCTGTTAGTATATAGCATAATATACTGTTGCACTTGGAGACATTATTGACTTATTTTCTTCATTCTGTAGATCAAAAAAGGACAATTTGGAGAGATTCAGTACAATACGTATGGAGCTTTGGAGCTAAACCACAGTATATTAGCTCGATCTCTCCCTCACTTCAACGGGCTACTGAAATTCAGACCAACAAATGTAAACAGTAAACCCACACAGGCACACATAAGAACAGTTTAACAATATCCACTTTTACAAAGAGCAGCTGTACCATTTACTAACCTAGTAAAGATGTGCCAAAATGTCAGCTCAATGCAATAGTCAAACAATCAAAGGTAAGTGTTTCCCTCCTAGATTCATAAGGGACTGAAAGTCCAGCAGAAAACACATTTCTTATGCGAGCGGAGATCTTAAGGACATGGGACTTACCATCAATGATGGGAACGGAGCATAAATTAAATACAGAAGCAGTGGAGTGAATCTAATCAAACTAATCTGAATACGGTGTGTGCGTGCCAAATGACACCCTATTTACTACATATTCCATTATGGGCCCTGGTCAAATGTAATGCACTCTAAAGGGAATAGTATGCCTTCTGGGACGCAGACACCGTCTCCCTCTGACTTCCTGCCTTAAGGGCAATAACACTCTGGTTTAATAGACAACATGGCTATTTCAGTCTTACACAGTCATTCAACCAGATCACTGCCACTGGAAGCCCTGCTGGTCTTTTCCCTCGTGAAGGATGAATATAGATGCAGGGCTTTCGGAATGACTGAAAATCAATAGAACAATGGAAGAGTAGGCACACCTTTGAAGAAAATAACATTAATCTTTTTTTTTTTAAGAAAAGCCGTGTCAGGAAATGAAGGAGAATTACAGGAACACTTGAGTGGCCGTATGTCACAGCCGTAGTTAGGATGACATAACCAAGTCAAAACCTGTCTGTGCAGTGTACATTATGAATAAGACAAGCCAACGCCTTTGTTTGGAACTGAAAGTTACTGGTATGAGTAAGTACTTCAAGCTGAAACCCATCTCATCATCACACATTACAACTAAATCAACGATTGAGTAACTGTTGAGGAATGGCTTAGTGTAAAAGGACAGATTAAAAATTCCAATAAATGTTAAGAATGCCACAGCTGTGTCTAACTTCTCAGGATTGGGGCTGTATAGCGTCCAGCCTTAACAGTTGGTCTGTCGGCTTTCGAGTCCCATGTAGGTGACCTGGCCATCTGTCCTCAACAAGCATGTCTAGTATGCATGCTTCAGTATGTGCATTACAAGAGTATATTAAGAGCAGTGTCCCCCAGTGATCTACCGCACACACTCACATGAATGCAGGCTTATGGCTGTCATCTCACATGGGCCCATATTCACAAAGCCTCTCAGAGTAGAAATGCTGATCTAGGATGAGGTTCACCTTGTCCATGTAATCTTATTCATTATGATCTAAAATGCTAAACTGGTCCTAGATCAGCACTCCTTTGCTGTGAGACACCATATGAATACGGGCCCCGACGACAGCTGGGTTTGGGTTCTGATACTGAAACATTGAATGTAAACATTAAATATAATACATGGACATTATATTTGGTTCTCCAATCACAAGACGGCTTAAGATTAGATCATGTTTATTGACCTTCATAAATACAGTAAATACTGGACCCATTTGTCCAGAAGGAGTTTGGGCAAATTAGAATTTCAGTCCTATGAAGTGCTGATCATAAAGCTTGTATATAAATATAATGAAGCAATAAAATAAATAGACACATAATGAATTCTCAAAATGCTAAGTCCTGTTCCAAATCCATATTGTGTGGGTATCACATGTCAGCACCGCATCCGTCCACACCTCTGATCTCTTCCTCAATCTATTCCAACCTCCTGTCATGGGAGGTCAGTAAGTGAAAATGCTGCACTTCACTAAATGTTTATTTGCAAGTACACACTGTGTAAGCGGGTCCCTTCAACCAGTGGATGTCTAGTCTGACAAATCACTTCCTGTGTCCACTTAGGCTCCTGATGGTCCCATTACCATATTGTTTCTAGAGTGGGCCATTGGCCCCCTGGTCCATATGCATGACACAATGTCTCTGTACTTCGTTGTTTTGGAGCTCCATGGGTGGGCTTGGAGGAGAGAGTTTTAGCCCAACGGGGAGAGGCTTTTCCTGGTGGAATGTGGGGGCCTCAGGGGGCTTACACAGTGTCAGCTTCCTCCAGAGGAAGCGCAGCACCGAGGGGCTGAGGATGATGAAGAGCCAGGGGTCGATGATGGAGTTGAAGGACAGCAGGCGGAGAGCAGCAAGATCATTGCCATACCTCGGCTTTGACACGCCCGTGAGGTTGACCAACACATGGAGCTATAGGGGGGACACAAAGAGAGAAAGCATCACAGTCAGTTATTCAGAATTTCAACATCAACAAAATATGGATATCAAGTAAGACAGTGTCATTATGATCTATTACAGGCCATTTTGAACTGTAGCATATCTGAAGAAGAGATGAAGAGATGTTTGGGTTGAGTGAAGGGAGGGAGGACACACACACACACACTGCACATTAGACTGTGGATCAATATTTTCAACACTTAGAACAGCCACATCAAAACGAATGCTCTTACCACTAAAGGAAACGAACAGATAACAAAAGCCACCGTTATGAACACCAAAAGCAGAAGATGCTCCACTTCCTCCGTCATGGAGAGGGATCTTTGGTAGAACCGTATCCGTCGCGTAAAACCACCGCGGCGCGCTTTACACCTCCTATACATCATAATTAAGTGGGAGACGACAGATAAGTTACAAACCACCGTGGTCGAAATCATGATGAGAGTCAATGACGCATACACACCGACGTATACTTTTTGTTTGGTCTCGGTTTGGATCATGTCAAAGAAGCACCAAGTCCCCGGACAATATTGAACGTAATCTCCAAAACCCACGAAAGGTGCTAGGCAGAAAAAGATGCAGATCAGGTAGATGAGTGTAATGGTGATGTATCCGCAGCGCTTTCTCAAGTGGCGCTCGTAAAAGTACGGATGTCCAAAGGAGAGGTAGCGCTCCAAAGCCATGGCGCACAGAATGGCCAAAGTGGCGAGGCTTAGAAAAGTCATGCTGAACCCAAAATAGGCGCATACTGCTCCGTTTTTACTCATACCCACCAAGGTCCTGTTTTGTGTATAAGAGGCTAGTACGAGAGGACTGACGGAGAAAGTACCCAGTAGGTCCGTAAACACCATCGCGGTCACCAGCACCTGGAACAGGGATGGACTTTGCCGCCGGCGCCGCATCTCCAAAAGGACCAACGCGATTAAATTGCCCAGAACTCCCGCCGAGAACATTGCCGCGGACATATAGAGATTTCCGGAAGAGACAGTGACACTGTCACGGCAGGTAATATTATTTTTGTCATCCATAAAAAATTGTCATAACCTACTCCACTAAGCGGTAAGTGCATGACCTGATCAAGTGTACTTTTATTCAGATCAGTGCACACAAAGGAGCAATGTCCCCATCCAACTTTTTGAATGACATAAGAAATGCGGTTCATCTCGTGTCAGTAAAAACTCTGATGTCTTTTCAGTCCCACCCACAACTCTCATACACAACCATGTGGTTTCCTGCACTGAGTGTAGTGTGGTCACACACTGGGCACGTTCCTCTGCCAAGGCGTTGCTGACGTATTCCAGATTTTACAACGCATGAGTATAAGTTAATGCAGCGTTCAAAACAACTGGGAGCTCGGAACTCTGAAATCTCCGACTTCCGAGGGTTCAAAACAACTGGGAAATCGAAAAAAAAAAAAATTTGCTCCAACTGGACAAAATCGATTTGAACAGTCAACCTACTCGGAAACCCAACCCGGAGTACCCAGTTGTTTTTAACGTGGCATATGACTACTGTCAGCCTGCTCAGACTGAGAAGTGCGCACTACCCATGGTTTCGTTTTTTTATAAGATTGGAAATCCCCTGGGATTTCATTTGCTTTTTGTTTAGGCCCACTATTATAGGTCTGCCTGATAAATGCCACGTTTGTATGTAGCCCTCTTTTGTATAGGCCTAGAGGTCGCTGGTGGAGGCTGATGGCAGGGGCTCATAGTAATGCCCGGAACGCCTGGAACGGAGTTTATGGAACTGTGTCAAACGTCAAACAAATTATTTCCATGTGTTTGATACCATACCATTTATTCCATTCTAGCCATTACTATGAGCCGACATCCCCTCACCAGCCTACTCTTCTTTCAGTGATGTGCTTGTCATGACTCCTGATGAATAAAGATCATGTATAAAGATATTGTAGAAGATAAGGCAGAAAATAATGTATTTAATTTGTATTTATTCATACAAAGCCACATTGAAACACTCCTTGATGAGATCCACAACTAGGGACTTTTCTAAGGCCTTCAAAGGCCTGGAGTTCCTATCGGCTCAAAACGATTCGTTTTAATGTCCTATAGAGCTGGTCTTTCTTTTTAAACAATCTCTATTAAGAGCTGTCATTTAATTGTGAGGAACTGCAGTTTTATCAGATTTTTTTTCTGTTTCGTCCTCTGTTGTGTGAGTGATATTTCTGTTAGAAGATAAGGTAGAAGATAAGGTAGAAGATAAGGTAGACGATAAGGTAGACGATAAGGTAGAAGATAAGGTAGAAGATAAGTTATGCACACATGACTGTAAGTCTCTTTGGATAAAAGTGTCTAGTAAATAACATATATTATTATGATTATTATAGTTATAATTAAATATCTGACAGAGGAGTACCTGCCTAGACAAATGTCTCACCTGTATGGAATGAATCACAGTCATCCCATCTCACTGTGTCCCTCAGGTAAGACTGTCAACCACAGACCATATCAGTTCTATATCTAAACGGTCAACCAATCCATACAAGTGAATCGATCTGTGGCCGTATCAAGCATCAAAGTGCTAATCTAGGATCAATTCTGAGACCCTTAATGAATACAGTTCCAGATAGTTAAAATATATCTGAGGCCTGTTTTTTTGGGACTAAATCCATGATGTATGAATCATGTCCTGTGAGCATGGCGCTTCAAACGCCAGGGTTGTGGGTTCGATTCTCACGGGGGACCAGTATGAAAATGTATGCACTCACTTCTGTAAGTCCCTCTGGATAAGAGCGTCTGCTAAATTACTAAAATGTAAATGTAAGCGCAGAATTCAACTCAGCAGTTGGCTGTTGTTCTAGACTCTTTCCACTAGATGGCGGTCTTAGTCGGGTTATTGGCAACTTCGAGAAACGCTTATGGCTGTTCAGCTTGACTTTACTCAAGATAATAATAAGCCATTTAGCAGACGCTTTTATCCAAAGCGACTTACAGTCAGACAACAAACAGTAAAGACATACAGATACCTTGGACAACTGAAATAGGAAAGGTTATTCTTCAGTGGATATTGATATAGCCTCCAACATGGTCTCGCAGTGCTACAGGGTTATATTAAGTGTATTTTGTGTGTGAGGTGTCATGGTCATTATATTTATTATTTATTTTCTATTTATTTAAGCAGGGAGTCCCATTGAGACCAAGGCCTCTTTTGGAAGTTGATGTACCACGTTACAGTACATTCATCCCTCTGTTGGTGTGATGAACCAATGGGACATGTTGAGTATCTGACTGAGACTATGAGCCTGGAAGGCAAACAGACATCAAATAAACATGGTAGCATTTAATAACTACTTTTCATTCAGATTTCTCTCTAAGTGCTTTCTCACTCACCCAGAAACCACATAATTCACAGTAATTAAAGAACCACAGTTGGAGAGGAGGGAGGCTCAACCTTTTGTGCTATTTCGTTTTAGCCTCTCAAAATTCTCAATCACACACAACACCGTGGCCTCAAACAGTCTCTCCCTCTCTCCTTTTTGCTTTCATATACAAACACACGTGACAAGTTTTTAGGTTTTCAGTGGGGGGTGTTGGATTATCTGTGAGCGTAACTGGGGACAATTGAGTGGGAGCACGAACAAATAGCGTATACTTTATTGCACTCTGTGGCCTAGCCCAGCGTTGTAGCCCTTGAAAAAACACACATCATTCAACTCATTGAGGGCTTGATGATTAGTTGACAAGCTGAATCAGGTGTGCTTGTCCAGGGTTACAGTAAAAATGTGTACTGTTGGGAGTACTGTGGGACTGGAGTTGGGAAACACTGGCCTAGCCTACTGCAGTAACAGTTGAAAAACAAGGTCACAATATGTCCCTAACCTAGACTACAATCTGGTTAATGCAATCAGTGTACCTACCTGGTTACAGTGCATTCGGAAAGTATTGAGACTATTGACTATGTCCACATTTTGTTACATTACAGCCTTATTCTAAAATGATTAAATGCATTTTCTTTCTCATCAATAAACACACAATACCCCATAATGACAAAGTGAAAACAGGTTTTTAGATTTTTTTGCAAATTTGTGATAAACTAAAAACAGAAATACAAGTATTCAGACCCTTTGCTATGAGACTCGAAATTGAGCTCAGGTGCATCCTGTTTCCATTGATCATCCTTAAGATATTTCTACAACTTGATTGGAGTCCACCTGGTGGTAAATTCAATTGATTGGACATGATTTGGAAAGGCACACACCTGTCTATATAAGGTCCCACAGTTGACAGTGCATGTCAGAGAAAAAACCAAGCCATGAGGTCGAAGGAATTGTCCGTAGAGCTCCGAGACAGGATTGTGTTGAGGCACAGATCTGGGGAAGGGTATCAAAAGAATTCTGCAGCATTGAAGGTCCCCAAGAACACAGTAGCCTCCATCATTCTTAAATGGAAGAAATTTGGAACCACCAAGACTCTTCCTAGAGTTGACCGCCCGGCCAAACTGAGCAATCGGGGGAGAAGGGCCTTGGTCAGGCAGGTGACTCTGACAGAGCTTCAGAGTTCCTCTGTGGAGATTGGAGAACCTTCCAGAAGGACAACCATCTCTGCAGCAATCCACCAATCAGGCCTTTATGGTAGAGTGGCCAGACGGAAACCACTCCTCAGTTAAAGGCACATGACAGCCCGCTTGGAGTTTGCCAAAAGGCACCTAAATGACTCTCAGACCATGAGAAACAAGATTCTCTGGTCTGATGAAACCAAGATTGAACTCTTTGGCCTGAATGCCAAGCGTCACGTCTGGAGGAAATCTGGCACCATCCCTACGGTGAAGCATGGTGGAGGTAGCATTATGCTGTGGGGATGTTTCTCAACGGCAGGGACTGGGAGACTAGGCAGGATCGAGGAAAAGATGAACAGAGCAAAGTACTGAGAGATCTTTGATGAAAACCTGCTCCAAAGCGCTCAGGACCTCAGACTGGGGCGAACATTCACCTTCCAACAGGACAACAACCCTAAGCACACAGCCAAGACAATGCAGGAGTGGCTTCGGGACAAGTCTCTGAATGTCCCTGAGTGGCCCAGCCAGATCCCAGACTTGAACCCGATCGAACATCTCTGGCGAGACCTGAAAATAGCTGTGCAGCTACGCTCCCCATGCAACCTGACAGAGCTTGAGAGGATCTGCAGAGAAGAATGGGAGAAACTCCCCAAATACAGGTGTGCCAAGCTTGTAGCATCATACCCAAGAAGACTTGAGGCTGTAATCACTGCCAAAGGTGCTTCAACAAAGTACTGAGTAAAGGGTCTGAATACTTATGTAAATGTGATAGTTCAGTTTTTTATTTGTAATCCATTTGCGAACATTTCTAAAAACCTGTTTTTGCTTTGTCATTATGGGGTATCGTGTGTAGATTGATGAGGGAAAAAAACAATAGAATCAATTTTAGAATAAGGCTGTAACGTAACAAAACGTGGAAAAAGTAAAGGGGTCTGAATACTTTCCGAATGCACTGTATATACAAACAGCACAGAAGGAAATCATCCACGAGTATTGATCACATCTTTACTAAGGCTGCAGAAATCTACTCTAAATCAGTATCCAAAGGCTGGGCTTAAAATAGTGTATAAGACATCACACAAGAGGTTCTGTAGTGATTCCTATGTTGAAGATGCAAACAATATTTACAGGTCTGTTGTGTGTAATGAGGAGCAATCAGATGCCGCACTTCACGTATTTATGAAATTGCTTCTTCCAGTTACTAATAGGTATGCACCCATTAAGAAACGGACTGTAAAAACTGCTAAATCCCTGTGGATTGGCGAGGAATTGAAAAATTGTATGGTTGAGCGGGATGAGGCAAAAAGCATGGCAAATAAGTCTGACTGCACAACCGATTGGCAAACGTACTGCAAATTGAGATATCATGTGACTAAACTGAATAAAAAGAAGAAACTGTACTGTGAAACAAGTACAGTTGTTGATAGTAAAAAGCTTTGGAGCACCTTAAATTAAATTTTGGGCAAAAACTCAAACCCAGCTCCACCCTTCATTGATTGAGATGGCTCATTAGTCACAAAACCCTCTGATATTCCCAACTACTTTAATGACTTTTTCATTTGCAAGATTAGCAAACCAAGGGATGGCAACAACAAATTCTGAAACCTTCATATCAATGCATAACAGACCAAATTATGGAAGACAAAATATTGCAATTTTGAATTCTGTAAAGTGAGAGTGGAAGAGGAGAAAAAAATATTTGTGTCTATTTGTGTTTTAAC